ATGTCAGGCACCATGCTAAGAACTTTTTACAAAGATCTCCTCTGATCCTTAAAAACTGTCCTACAAGGTAGGTGCTATTATTATCTCCCTTTCGCAGTTGAGAAAACTGAAGCAAACAGAGATTAAGTGGCTTGCCTAGGGTTATATAACTAAATAAATGTCTAAGGCCAGATGTAAACTTAGGTCTTTCTGACTCCAGGCCCAGCACTCTATCCATTATATCCACTAGCTGCCTCCAATAAGAATAGTGTGAAAACTAAGAAAATATATGTCAGGAGGTAGAGAAATCCCCATACTAAAATGTATGATGTCCTCCATATGAGGGTCTCCTCATTCCTGCCTCTCCCTGGCAGAAGTGTCAAAGAGAGTACTTTGAAGTTGGGAGACCTGGATTTGAATCCCAACTAAGCACCTGTTTGACCTTGGGCAAGTCACTTAACCTCTCTGTCCCTCAGTTTCTTCATAAAATGAAGGGTTTGGACTAAATGATCTCTAAACAATTTCTTTTGGCTCTAAAACCTACTATTCTGTGAAATTGTCTACCTATAAATTTGGTTCCATTGTGTTTCCTTATGTAATTCATTATAAGTCATTTAGACAGTTTCTATCTCCGTTCAATCTAGCCTCTTAAATGATATGGATATTTTAAAATGCCTTGATAAGACAAAAGAGACAATAGACAAATAGTATTATAAGATGGTTTATAAATTGTAAATTGCTGTATAAATGTGAGCTATTGTTATTAATTTTGTGAGACAGCTTGGCAGAGGTGGGAGGAAATAAACATCTGTTAAGCACCTACTACATGCCAGGTACTGTGCTAAGTACTTTACAAATATTATTCCATTTGGTAGATGCTATTATTATCATCCCCATTTTACAGATAAGGAAACTGAGGCAAGCAGCCGTAAAGTGACTTGCCCAGGGTCACATAGCTTATAAATGTGTGAGGCCAAATTTGAACTCAGATCTTCTTGATTGCAAGGTATTCACTCTATCTGCTGTACCACCTAGCTGCCTCCAAAGAAATATGTTAGAAAGATCACTCCAGTGAGAACCAAGAGATATGATTTATGATACTGACCACAAGCTAGCTGTGAGCTTAAGCAAAACAAAGCTCTTTATCTCTCTGGACCTCAGATTCTTCATCTATAAAATAAGAGGATTAGCCTAGATTTCCACCCTTCTTCCTTTCCTCCTTTTTTTTTCTTTCTTCTGGCTCTAAAAGTATGTACGTTTCTAATGCTTGAACAGAAAATGAAATTTAGTAGCATTTTTATATAAAATTCTTCTTACAAAATAATTTGTAACATCTGAAAATATTATAATTAATTGTTCCTTTTGAGTAGGAGTAAAATATTTCTTGAGTATCCTGTATATAACATACATAACACAAATATAGGCACATAGTGGGCATTCAACTTATACTTGTTGACTATGATTCTATGACTGAAAGAGGAAAAAAAGGTTGCCCACCGCCATTACCATAAATCTATCCTTCCAGGCGTAGGGTTTTTTTTTAATATAATGCCATAAATTCGTCTAGCCGAAATTACACTAGCCCACATAAGTATTAATTTACCTTGATCCAATTTTCCATTGTTATTTTAAATGCTAACAAGTGATATAAAGCATATCCCTGCATAATCACTAAGATAAGATAAATTATGTTGATTATCCATCTTATGTGCTACATTAGCTCAATCCAAATGCTGCACTGGTATTCTTGTATCCTCATGATCTGTAGTTTCAGTAATGCGAATACTCCTTCCAGTGACACACATCTCCATCCATCCCTACCTTCCTATCCTCTGAAACCCTCAACCATGTCCCACTGAAAACATCAGAGGTGGTGTGTGGGCTCTTTCCCCTCATTCTTTTGACATAAATTTGGTCTTTTGACATGGCACAGAGACTAATGGAGCATATGGGCTGTCCAACAGTTATTCCTTGCTTTCACTATGTGACCAATCCATCTTTTTTTTTTCTAATTCTACATTTCTCAGTTAACATCATTTATACCACTTCTATATAATTCCTAATTTATATGGTTTACAGCCTGCTCATGCTCATCACGCACTTCTTTATTGCCCTTTGGGAGGTTCATAATGTCTTCTTTTCAGAGATTTCAGAGTATTCCAAAACTTTCAGCCATACAACATTGTAAGAAAAACACTGATATAAAAATGCAGGCTTTTGTTTCAGTGACATTAAAAGAACTTTGTAATTTCTCAATAGCAATTCAGTCCTCTCTCCTCCTTTTGTTCAATTCTGGGCCTAGATCATTATCCATTTATAGTGTCCATCCGAGATATGTGTACTCATGAATGATCTCTATGAGTTTTCCATCCAACTGTATTACATCATTTCACCAAACTCTTATGAATGACCATGGATTTCAATTAGGAGGCTCTTTAGTGTTCTGGAGCTTGATTCAGTCAGCATGCCATCATGCACAATGAACATGTGGAGGATTTCACCATCCAAAAGCATCTTCCTTAATGTGGACTTTTCAAGTCAAAGCCAAAGGACTCCTTAAATGTTCACCAAAAGCATTTGCCACTGTCATGGAAGATATCTAGCTGGTATCCATGAACTGTTTTTGGTTTTGGTTTTTTTGGCTAGGCAATGGGGTTAAGTGACTTGCCCAGGGTCACACAGCTAGTAAGTGTCAGGAGGCTGGTCCTCCTGACTAAACTAATTTTTTTAAATTGAGAATTGTCTACACTATTGACCTATTTGTTTATTCATTTATTTTGTTTTTCCACCTCTTTCACTGAATATAAGGGCTTCTAATTTTTTTCTGTTATCAAACATTTTTCTCCTCTCATTGGGGAAAAAAAGAAATGCCAGATCCTTGTAACATATGAATAAAATCAACCAAAACAAATCCCCACATTGGCCATATTCAAAAATGTGTCTCATTTTCATATTAGTCCATATACAGGGTACTATTAAAATAACAAAAGAAAGTCTCTAGGACATTGATTAAATATCTATGTTGAACTAATGGAAAGAAAAAGATTAGAATCACATGAGAAGGGCTCATGATCTGCACCAGTGAAAGGAACATTCATAAACAAGGAGATCACAGATCCATTGTAGCATTAGTTGAGCTCCTCATCACTCCTCACTTAGGCTATTGTAATAACTTCCTAATTGTTCTCCTGGCTTTCAGTCTCTCTCCAATCTATTCTGCACACAGCTAGGAAAATCATCTTCCTACGGCACATGTCTGGCCATAGCACACCTCTGTTCAAGAACAGTTATTGGCCCCCATTGCCTGTAGCATTAAATATAATCTCTTTAGCCTGGTAACTAAGGCTTTTCATATCTGGCTTCCCCCTACCTTTCTAGCTTAATTTCACATTACTCCCGTTTATCAACAGTGTTCCAGCCAACCAAGATTACCAGGTGTTTCTCAGACTTGATATTCCATCCCCTACCCCCATGCATTCACACAAATCATCACTAATGCATGGAAAGTACTCCCTCTTCGTTTCCAACCTTCAGAAGTCTTGTGTACCTTCAAGACTCAGTTTAGGTACTACCCCCTCCATGAAGTGGTACTTCTCCCTTATCTCTCCAATCAGTGCTTTCTCCTTCCTAAGAGAGTGCTAAATTTGGAGTTAGATACCATATCCTAGCTCCACCACTTAATACTTGAATGACCTTGGGCAAGTCAATTAAATTCTCTAGGCCTCAGTTTCCTCATTGGTAAGATAAGGACAATGGACTAGATTTCTTCTATGAGCCCTTCTAGTTCTAGATCTTTTCTTCTATATCCTGATGGTTGCAAAGAGGCTTCCTACTTCTCATCTAGAACAGTATAAATACTTCAGGAGTTCCTCACAGCCAAATATGATCATTTCTGTGTGAATATCAACTCACACCAAAAGACTGCTTCAAGTCAGAAGAGACTTGGGTTTGAATTGCAAATGAACTTAAAAACTCTGTGACTTTGAACACATAACTTTTCAGTTTTCTTATATGTATAATGGGGATTAAAAATACTTGTACTGCCCCTTTTGAAAATTGCCAAAGTTGCTTGCTTCTACTTAGATATGGCTTGGAAAGAATGTTAATTATGCTAAAGTGTCCCCTGATACCAGATTTAATATGTTGCCCTCTCCCAGGATTTGTGGATTTTAACATTCTTTAACCAATAGCAAGCACCAATAGAAATATAAATTATTTTTATTATTTACTTGAGAGTCTTAGCAAGTAAACCTACTGATATAATTTGGAAAATACTCCTTTCAAATTATATGCAACTCTCTTTGATATCTGATATTCCATCATTAAGGACTTTTCTTTTGGGTTAAAGAATGTTAAAATCCAGAAATCGGGGGGGGGGCAACATATTAAGCCTTGTATCAGGGGAAATCTTCACATAACTTAGATTAATATTTTTTCCAAACCACATCCAAATAGGAGAGTGCAACTTTGGCCATTTTCAAAAGTGGCAGACAATGAGAGAAAGATTCAGAGTAGAGCAAAATATAGAAAGAGGAGGTTTGAGTGGAGGACTATTAGGATATCCTGGATAACATAACAGCTTTAGGTTCCTGTGAATAAGTAGGAAATGTTGCTAAAGATCAGAAAGAGTAGGGGATGGAAAAGTGTCAGATACAAAAGCCACAGTTTTTCATGGGGGCAAACTTAGGTTTGTGTTTTCGGGATGGTGGAAAGGGGAAGGAAATGACTGGATATAAGGTATAAAGAAATGAGAGGGGCGGCGGTTTCTACACATGCCATGGAAACGGTAGGGTTTTCTAAAGTTCCTCAACGGCTTTGGCCATGTGGCGTGGCAAAAAGAAGGGGTAAGGGTGGGACCACGTGGATATTATCTGGTTACACAACTGGCGAAATATATTCAAAGCGCTGAGGGGCAGGTTTTATCTTAGAAGTTCGGTGGCTTATTGGTTGGACGTTTGCCCGCAGCCTCTATAAAGCTGCTGCCAAGCAAGTGTTCTCGTGCTGCTGCTGCTGCGGCTGCTGCGGCTGCTGCGGCTGCTGCTTTCTAACAGCACTTGAGCAGACCTATGTGAAGTCAGCCACCACTGCAAGCAGCTATAATCAGCAAACATGGAGCCTCAAAGAATAATAAGTGAATTCTAGGTATGTACGGAGGGGTCACATCTATTTGCTTGATAATCCGGGCCTGAAAGGACGACCTGTTTCTTGGCTAGGATCTTTCGCTTACTTGTCCCCCTCCCTCTTTCAAGGAAAATATGCAATAATCTGGGAATTCACGAAATCATTGCACAAACTGTTTCTGAGAGGCAGCACAGAAGAAACTAGGGCCAAATTTAGACAACATTTTAGGATTATGGGTTTTAGGAAAATAAATTCTATTGGAATGAGGAGGGGGCGGGGGACCAAGATGAGAGAATAAGGAAGAAAGGAAAGCTTTTTCAATCGACAAGGCAAGTTGAAACATCAGAACATGCACTTGGGCTTCCACGTAGTTTACCAAGTCTTGGGGAGGCCGGGGAATCGGAGCCTGGGAGGCTAAGAGTGGGAGGGAGAAGTAACATTTCAAAGCAAAAGAAACTAAAATTGCTATCCCCTGATCCAAAGTGTCTTCTTGTGTGTTCTAGGTAGATTAGCTTGATCCAAAAAACCCCCTCTCACACACGACAGTATACTGCCACTCAAATGTGGTGCCTGGAGCGGCTCCTACGGCTGCGGACACGCCCAGCGGCAACCTCTGCCTTTACCAATGTTCTTACCCCAGACAGCATCCCAGAGTTCTGCATACCCCCCAGGCTTCTACCCAGTCCTTCTCCCGCCCCTACCCGAGAGCGTTGGCAGGAGGAGGAGCTTCGGCCAGCGCTTGTGGACGCCAAGGAGGACCCGGACCTTACGGACTGGGACCCGCGCTCGCAGGCTGCCCTCTCGCTGCCGCACCTGCCGCGCCGGCCGACCTCATATGGCTTCTGCGCGCTGCTGGAGAGCCCGAATACCCGCCGTAAGGAATCTCTTTTCCTCGGGGGTTCTGCAGCCGCTGCTGCCCTTGTCCTGCAGTCCCCGCGGCCTCGGGCTCACACTTACTGCGGCAGCAGCGACACTTGTTACCCACTAGGGCAGAAGGGCACCCCAGACGGCTCCGACACCACCTCCTCCTCCTCTGCCAGCTCGTCCCCCTATGATTCCCCCCGGCCCCGGGACGCTCCCACCAAGCGCTCCCGGAGCCGTCCGCGCTGCCACCGCCTCCTCCGGGCCCCGGACTCGCTCTTTGGCGGGCGCTGCGAGTTAGTGGGAGCCGCGTTCTGGCCCGGGCCCGCTCAGTCTCCAGCGCTGAAGATGATGATGAGGACTATGATGCCGTCCGGGACGCAGGTCGCGTCACCCTGCCAGCCACCTGCCAGCCCGACTCTGCTCGGGCACGGGCTCCATCCCCAACCCCGTCCCCATCCCCTCTGGGCCCACAGCAGGAACGCCTGGAGGTCGAGACCACCGTGGCCCTGGACCACGACGGCGGGGCCCTGCACTTGGCGACCAAGTACTGTCCGGTGTCCCGGCGGCTGCGCATCCGCCTGCTCAGAGCCGAGGGTCTCTACAGCCGCACCACTGAGCCGGGGGCCATCGGCTGCAGAGTCAGCTTCACCTTGGTACCTCCCGGCAAGACGCGCAAACAACGCAGCGCCGTGGTCCGGCGGAGCCGAAATCCAGTCTTTAACGAGGACTTCTTTTTCGACGGATTGTCGGAAGACGACCTGCGGCGCACGGCCGTGAGCGTCAAGGCCGAGAACAAGGGCCGGGGCCTGGAGCGGGACCGTTTGCTGGGCCAGGGAGAGTTGGAGCTGAGATCCATACTTCTCTGACAGTGGCCCAGCTTCACTCCTCCATTCCTGGTGCTTTCTGTTAACCCCAGGAGGCCTGGGCCCTGGCAGCTATTTTGTAATTAATTAATAAAAAGTGTATTTTCCTTTAAAGTATTGCTGAGGTTCACGTTCTATCGAGTTAGAACCCAAGGTACATCTTAACGTATGGGAGAACATTTAAGCACTCATCTGTAGACAATGACATAGTGCTTAGTGCTGGACTAGGAGTCAGGAAGACCTGGGTTAGAATCAAGCTTCAGAGACTAAAGTGACACTGGACAAATCACTTAATGTTTGTGAGCTTCAGTGTCTTCATCTGTAAAAATGGGTTAATAATAACACTTAACTTCATAAAGTTGGTATGGGGGTCAAATGAGATATTGTTTATGATGCACTTTGAAAACCTTAAATCGCTATATAAACTTCTTCATACACGTACTATATAAATTATATCTAAACTATATAAACTTTTTCATACATACATGAACTTGAACAGTGCTCTGAAGTAGCAAATTTTTTCCTTTTGGGGAATGTAGTTCTATCACCTACTGTATCTCAAATACTTCAAAAACTCATCCCAGACCTTCTTAATGCTCTAAGTAGAAGAGAAGCACAGGCTTAGACTATTTGTGTTGCTGGATTCCAGAACCAAAATCTAAAGTAGAAGGATCCATGGAATTTGATGTCCTCACTGTCTCGTTGTTGCCTTCTAACAGATTCATTGGTTGAACAGAGACATCAATCCCCTTGTGCCATCAGCAACTGAAAAGAACTCAAATGGGCTGAAAGGGATTTCCCAGGTTATAGCATCTTTAAATCATAGATATAGAATAGAAAGGGACCTTAGACATATCTTGTTCAGATTCCTCATTTAGCAGTGAAAAGACTATTATACCTAAAGTCAGGAAGACCTGAGTTCAAATTTGACCTCAGACACTTGCTGTGTGACCCAGGGCAAATTACTTAACCTCTCTCTGTCTCAGTCTCCTCCTCTGTAGACTGGGGATAATAATTGCACCTATCTCCCTGGGCTGTCAAAAGAATAAAATGAGATAATATTTGTAAAACCCAATGCTCTTTCCAGTTCACTTCAGTCATTTGAAAAAGTTAAATATCCCAGTGTTTTGTTTGACCAATGTGTTTTCTTAGGTATAGGGAACTCTCAGTTAGGAAACTTCCTCTATCAATGCAGATCAGCACTTGCTTGGCAATTTAGTCTTAGAAATGTGCCTGGGATCCCATAAGTTAAGTGATTTGCTCAGGGTCACATAGCCAGTGTGTATCAGAGACACCGCTTGAATCTAGATCTTCCTGACTGTGGCCATCCCTCTATCCATTAGGCCAGTGGTGTCAAACTCAAAAAAAAATGAGTGCACTAAACTATGTATGTTTAAAAAACCACATATTAACATTGGTGTATTATAATTTTATTTATTTTGTTAAATATTTCCCAATTACATTTTAATCTGGTTCAGGCTCCACTCCTATGTATGGCCTTCAGGCCTTGTATTTGACACCTCTGCAGTGGGCCATGCTGCTTCTCCATCTTTTATTAAGAAAGCTATTTTCTCTTCTGAAGGAACTAACCATCCCTCTAAGGCCCAAGGCCCTGGTCGTGTTAACATCATGTTCTAATCAACTGAGGTAATTGACAGGAATAGTTTAGACTGGAGATTAGTCAGGCATATTTCTTCAACTTTTTTCCTTTCTCTGTATGTCTCTCTGTCTTTCTCAGCTTTGCAAAATTTAAGGTATTATAGAAATGAAAGCTATTATCATTATTTTATTGCTAGTGTTAGTCTTTTAAAAATAGGCAATAGAATATGGATAGCAGTGAGGTTCTCTCTTCCTAAATAAGAAGTGATTAGTGCTACTTTGTCAATAGTACATAAATATGGCATAAGGTTTTTCCATCTAAATCTGCTTTAATTGTACCAGTTGTTGACAACATGCTCCTTTGTTACTACCCACAAAACAGATCCTATTAAATAAACACTACTTTAGTCTGAATGAAATCAGTCTCAACACCAGAAAGATAACGGTAATGCAATTCAGCAAGCATTTAGGTGCCTACTGTGTACAAGAGATTCAATGGAAGAGGTAATAGAGGGACAGATTTGGCCTTTCTACATCTGTGGAGGGAATTTTCTCCCTGAGAGCTCCCCGAACTAATAAAATTACAGTTCTGGCTCTCCTCTCCCCCAAAATACAAGGTATTACTCTTGGGATGCAAGAATACACCAATGCGCAATTGTAACCTATTCTGTGAAATTCTGTAGCATAGTAGAGCTCTGGAATTAGAGTCAGAAAGACATAAGTTCAGATACCATTTCAGAAAATCCATGTTACTTTCAGCAAGTCACTTAATCTCTTTCGGTTTCAATTTCCTCATATGTGAAAATGAGGGAGTTAGATTTAATGGTCTCAAGACTTCCAGATCTAAATCTATTATTCTCTGTCTTCCATAATCTACCATTGGGAATTCATACATCATACTGAGGGTTTCCTCTGGGTCTCTCAACATTGTGACGATATATGACCAGTCCATTATTTTTCAAGTGATCCTCTAATAGTATTCTTTACACTATTTCTCTTGCACAATTCTTCACTAATAATAAGTTGCACCCTGCTCATGAGCACCATATGCCTTTCCATTGCCCTTTGAGTTATCCTCAATTTTAATTCTTTGGAGATTATGATTTTCCATGACTCACAGCCATGCAGCATCTCCAAGAGATTGTTATTAAAAAGATGGGCCATTGTGTAAGGGATAAATTTTGGGTCATTTTGCAAGGATAAGAAATTTAGAATAATACAACTGTTGTAATCAAATTATAATATTGATAAGAAGTGACAATTGTATTTATTATACATATATATATAATCTCATGTGATTCTCACAGCAATACAGTGAGGTAGGTACTAATGATATTGCTATACTTATTTTGCAGATAAAAAAAAACCTCAGGCTTAAAGGGATTAAGTGATTTATCATGGTAAGTCAGCTAATAAATGTCAGGGGTGGGATTTGATCCTAGGTCTCTGCTGACTCATAGGCCAGGGCCCTTTCCACTATTCACTGTAGCCTCTCGAGTGTGATATCAAGTAGAATGTGAACTGGGCCTTAAAGGAAGAAACAGATTTTGAGAGATGGAAAGGCAGAGGTAGCTCAGTTCAGGCATCTAGAACAATGGTTCTTAACATAGAGTCCATGAACTTAAAAAAAAAATCCTGATAACCATTTTGTTGTTGTTCAATTGTTTCAGTCATGTCCAACTGACTCTTTTTTTAACCCATTTGGGTTTTTGGGGGCAAAGATACTGGAATGGTTTGCCATTTCCTTTTCCAGCTCATTTTACAGATGAGAAAACTGAGGCATACAGGGTAAAGTAACTTGCCAAGAATCACACAGTTAGTAAGTTTCTGAGGCCAGATTTAAACCCAGAAAGATGAGTCTTCTTGACTTGAGGCCCAGCACTCTATCCGTGGTGCCATCTGGCTGTGTGGGAACTATATTTCAATGTAACTGGTTACTTTTGTAATGTGATATATTTTTTGCATTTAAAAAACTTTATTCCAAGAAAGGGTCTACAGGTTTCACCAAACCACCAAAGGGGTCTGGGATGCAAAAAAAAAAAGTTAGGAAGCCCTGATCTAGGATGATCTGTACAAATGCAGGAAGGCAAGAGAGGAAGAATGATGCAGGAGAATGGCTAGTAGTAGAGTGTGGTTGTGATATAGAGTGTGTGAAGGGGAGAAGAATTAAGGAAGGTTAAAAATGTAGACTTGAGCCAGACTGTGGATGTTCCTCAATGCCAGAGTAAGGAGTCTGAATTTTATCCTGTAGGCTGGAGGGAGTCTACATATTCCAGTAGGATATGATATCTAATTCCCATATACTTTATTTTAGAGATACATAATTTTATTTCTGTATTAAAAACTCCCTCCATCAGTGAAGAGCAACAGTTCTTGTGTCATTTATATTCTTAGAGACTTGCCTACGGCAATGAGAGGTCAAGGGGCTTGCCCATGATCCCACAGCTAGGGTGCTCTGGAGGTAGAATTAAAATCAAAATGTTTCTGATACTAATTTTGTCCTTCCATCTCTTCTATGACTGGCTACCTCTTTTGTTATATCTATAGCAAAGGGAAAAGGTGTATTATGAAAACTTACCAGTTAAGTACGGTAACATCCTATAAAATATATTAAGGCAAAATAAGTTAATGGTTGCAATAATAACAAGTAGCTGACACTTATAGAACACCCAGCCCCTTGTCTCTGCTCCTGTGGCTACCACCCTGGTTCAGGTCCTCATGACTTCCAACCTCAATTGTTACCATAGCCTCCTACTCAGTCTCCCTGCCTCATCTCTTCCATCTCTAATACACCCTCCACAAAGCTGCCAATTCAATATGCCTAAAACACAGGACTGACAATGTTGCTTCCAGGCTCAAGAATTTTCAGTGGCCACCAACTGCCTATAGGATAAAATACAAACTGAAGTATATGAACTCCAAATTCCTTCCCAGTTCTAAAATTCTCTCAGATGAGGGAGGCTAGAGCCAGGCTTTCAAATTGAGTTGTTAAATACAGAGAAGTTTGGAGATCACAAACATCATCTCGTTCATTTTTGCAGTAAATGGAGAATGATGGGGTTGAATAACTTAGTATTTAACAGTGTTTAAGTGTTATTTAACACTTAAGTGTTATTTAGCATGTAAGTATTTAGGTGGTCTACAGATACAGGCAGTTCTCAAGAAAAGAAGCCCAGGCTATCTATAGCCACATTAAAAAAAATGTTCCAAATCACTAATATTTAGAGAAATGCAAATTAAAGCAATTCTGAGATTCCACCTTACACTCATCAGAGTTGCAAGGATGGGAAAAAAGGGAAAATGATAAATATGGGAAGAGTTGTGGGAAAGCAGGTACATTGATGCATTGTTAGGACCTATGGATGGGTACAACCAATCTGGAAAGCAACCTTGTATTATACGCAAAAGGTTACAAAACAGTGCATTCCCTTTGACCCAGATGTTCCACTATTAGGCCTAGACCCAGAAGAGACTGAGTAGTTGT